CACAGCCACGGGCCCTGGCAGCTGAGTCTGCTGAGAAACGTTTTTGCAGTGCCGGAGACTCGAGACTAGAGTGGGGCAGGTGTTTGCCAGGTGACCTGGGTTTCACCCCCAGCACCTCCTGAGCTCTGCCAGGAGTAGTCCCTTAGCACAGAGCCAGGCGTAAGCCCTGGGCACTGCCAGGTGTGGCACAGTGACCACCAACACACACACACACACACACACAAAGGATTTGCAAGAGTTCCGTGTGCCACGCTGAGAAGGAGCGGCCTTGGGTTCTGCAGCTGCTGGCCTGGGCCACCCGGGACCCTTTGCCTGCGAGGCACATTGGCCCTGGTCCCGGTGGGCGGCCATGCCGGAGGCTGCCCTCTCGGCGGCAGGGAAAGGACAGCAGCGTCGGCCTCTCGTAGCACTGCAGCTGGCTCTCTGCAGCACATTTCCCCCAAGCAGTGCTGCCGACCTGGCAGCCCACGGCCCGAGCGTCTCCGGCTTCCCGTGGTGGTCTCCGTGTGGAACCTGCTTTCGGTTACGTCAAGGCTGCACCTCAGGCCTCTCCACGCCCGAGTCGTGGCATGTAAATCCCTCTCGCCTACTGCTTAAAAAGCCACTGGTGCGGCTGGCGCAATAGCACAGCGGGTAGGGCGTTTACCTTGCACGCGGCCAACCCGGGTTCGATTCGCAGCATCCCATATGGTCCCCCGAACACCGCCAGGAGTGATTCCTGCATGCAGAGCCAGGAGTAACCCCTGAGCATCGCTGGGCGTGACCCTAAAAAAAGAAAAAAAAGCCACTGGTGTTATCTACAGAAAATCTGTTTGTTTGAGTGCCTTCCTCTGGGAATTATTCCCAGTCTCCCCCTCCCCCCAAAATATTCCATAGCTTCAAAGCCGACGAGATTTGAAGGCGCCCTTTATTTTTTTTTCCTTTTGGGTCACACCCGGCGATGCACAGGGGTTACTCCTGGCTCTGCACTCAGGAGTTGCTCCTGGCAGTGCTCAGGGGACCCTATGGGATGCTGGGAATCGAACCTGGGTCGGCCGCGTGCATGGCAAAGGCCCTCCCCGCTGTGCTATCTCTCCAGCCCCAGAAGACGCCCTTTAAAGACTCGGGAGATGAACATGGCAAAACCGACTCTACCACACCAGCAGACCTTCCCGTTCCCAGACCTGACGGGAAAGCAAATCGCTATTTGTGCAACTTGCTTTGTCTAAACAAATAACCTCACGTTACAATAATGCAGGCGACCCTGGTTTAATCAGGTGCAATTAATTTTGTGCCGGGAAAATTTGACGTCTTGCCGGAGGCAGAGCCAGCTGTGTCCTGTCTGAGGACTTTTTTTCCCTTTCCTTTTCTCTTTCTTTAAGCTGCCTGTGAGAATTCAGCTGTCAGGGATCCTGCGGGAGGATGGTGGGCGGGGGAGGGGGGTGAAGGCCAGAGGCTCAGCGACAGCAGTGGAGGCTGCTCTAATTAACAGCGCACCCAGGAAGGGTTTCTCATGGCGCTGACAGGCTGCGTCTCTCTCTGCCCTTTGAACCGGCTTCCCTCCACGCTGCCCATCACGCACATGGAGACGTGCCTCCGAACACGGCCAAGGGCACTCGCTGCTTCCAGAAAGCTCTGCAGGACCTCAGATGTGCTGTGTCTGCTGAGGGTTGGTCATGATCCTTTGGCTCAGTCATGGGCGATTTTCTTGGCCTGTCAGACCAGCCTTGTCCCGGTGATTTCACAGAGTTAAAAAAAAAATACATACATATACATACACACACACATACACACAGAGTTGGGTTATGCTTCCCCAAAACCAGCCGCCGCATGAGAAAGCCACCTCCTTCCACCCAGCATTTCTGTTTTGTGTCCTCGGAAGGGCTCCTTCTGCCTTATTTGGAGACGGCCTTTCCCACACGTGTCTTGGTGTGAGCAAAAATAGGAGGGAAATTCTCTGGCGCAGAGACTCCCGACGCCTGTCACCAGGGAGCCCTTCGGGGCAGCCTCCCTTCCCCCCATCTGCTTGCACAGGGACAGCTGTGCCTCACTGCACGCCTCCAGGCCTGTGCCATGGCCCCCACTCTGGGCCCTTGTCCTTGCTGTCAAAGGCAGACACTAGACCAGCAGGACCCCCTCTGCCAGGGGCCTGCCACCCCCTGCTCTGTGGCCCTCCCCACCCGAGCTCCGTCCCGGGGCGGCTGCCTGGCACTCTGAGAGTCCAGAGCACAGCCTTGATGCTCACCAGGCCAGGGAGGAGGGGACAGGGGCGAGACAGGAAACCACCCCTGGTGAAGCCACACAAACCCTTATCACTCACCAGAGAAAGGCCCCTGAGCCGCGAGAGGATGCAGAGGGCTGGAGGCTGCGGGAACCAGCGCCACGTGGGACCCCCCGGGCACCGAGCCAGGAGCCATGGCACAGCGGGGAGGGCATTTGCCCTGCACACAGCCGACCCGGGCTCAATTCCCAGCATCCCATCTGGTCCCCCAAGCTCACCAGGAGTGACCCCTAAGCACAGAGCCAGGAGCGAGCCCTGGAGTGCTTGGGGGACCCTGTGGGATGCTGGGGATCAAACCCGGGTCAGCCGCATGCAATACACACTGTGCTATTGCTCCAGCCCCTCAGCATCCCAGAGTGCCCCCTCCGCAGGCCCACCGGAGTGATCCCGGAGCACCACCGGTTAGGGCCCAAGACCAAGAAATTCAGTCAACCGAGTCCATCCGCTAAAAGCATCTGGTTGTCGCGCCTGCCCCCCCCCCCACTCCAGGTCTCCTTGCCTCAGTTGGCAGCCACAGCACTGGCCATCTGTGGCCTGCTCTGGCCTGCGCCCCACCTGTCCTCACACCTGGACATCAGTCCCCCAGGCCCGCCCTCCGCCTGCTTGGGCACTCTTGGCCACTAGGCTCCTTGCTGCCTTTGGTGTTTTGTTTTTCTTTCTTTCATTTCCTTTTCTCTGCCCAGGTGTGGATTTATTCCTGAGGTGCCCTCGCCTAGTTGACCTCTGCCTTGCTTCTCCCGGGGGTTAGTTGGGGTGGGGGGCGGGAAGGGGGGGAGTGGCCAGAGGCCAGTCCTAAAATGTGCCAGCCACGTCCATGCGCGTCTGGGGACACCGGGTTCCCGGCTGGCATTAGTCCCCTTTGTGTGTTCTCTCTCTGCGCTGGCTCCTTTCCCATCTCGCGGCGTCTCTGTTTTCTTGTGAGCTAATGACCCGGCACTCAGTACCTGTTCTCAGACCTGGCCTCTGCTCCTAGTTCTCCCGCTGACTTCATGTCCCTCTGCTGCAAAGTCCGGAGCTGTGAAAGACCTCTGGGCCCAGCAAGAAACCGAAAGCGTGAGGTAGACTCTCAGTCCATGGCCATAAAGGACCGGGGGGTGCACCTAGCCGGCCAGGACAGCTGCCCTTGGCTTCTAGTTCTTTTTGTAGTTGTATCATTTGGGTGTTTTGTTTTGTTGTTTTGTTTGCCACACCCAGTGATGCTCAGGTCTGATCCTGGCTCTGTACTCAGGGATCACTCCTGGCGGGGCTCAGGTTGGCCTCGTGCTGAGGAGACGCCTCATCCGTCGTCCAGATGCTCTGCCCCTGCCCCAGCTTTCATGCCAGCATTTGTGGAGCTGTAAAGGTGCCGCTCAGCACAGGTGCATGAAACCGAACAACCTTCCCGGCCTCATCCACAGTCAGTCTTAGTCCTTTGTGCGTGTGATGCCAGCGTGCAGGGAAGCTGGGCTCTGTGGAGAGCGTGCAGGGGACCTTGGACTGGGAACCTTGGGTGGTGGGGAACTGACCCGAGGCAGCTGGCGGGGGCCGCGGCTGCCGCGGTGCAGTGGAGAGGTAGGAGCGGGGGCCGGAGCCGCAGCCCCCAGGATCCCACCGCCAGCCGCCTGTGCTTAGACCACGTGTCCGCAAAGCCACTTCATCTTCAACCCGCTTAAAGGCTCAAGGCGCACAAATCCTGCTTGAAGTCGGAGCTCGCATGTCTGTACCCAAATCCCCTCGGAACCTGAGCGCCCTCGTGATAATTCCCGTCCCCCAGGGTTCAGGCGATGACACGGAGGGAGGGATCAGCGATTGTCCTGTGGGGCCGGGGGAGGGGGGAGCAGCGTCCACCCTGTAAGGCCGGGAGGGATCAGTGTCCACCCTGTAAGGCCGGGAGGGAGCATCGTCCACCCTACATGGTCGGGGGCATCAGCGTCTGCCCTGTAAGGAGCTCAGAGTGGTTCTCACGGTGATAATGGGGGCTCCCGCGATTTCGGGGCTCCCTCCTGAGTGGGGTTCCCCTGGCTCGTGGAATTCCGGCTGAGTTGACCATCAGCTCAGAGCTCCGCAGGGGAGGAGGGGACACGCCGGCTCCCTCCCTTCCTACATAACAGGCAGAGCAGAGTCAGGCTTGGCCGCAAAACAAACCTTGTTTGAACCCCAGGGCAGACTGGTTTGTTACTGGCTTGCAGAGGTGAAATGAGTTCCCCAAGAAACAAGTCGGGGTGTGGTCACCCCCGGGTGACCTTGCCTGCCCTCTCCTGGCCATCAGGAGGACCTGCAAGGGGGGGCAGGCGCCCAGCAGTCCCACACGCTGCCAAGAGGGGGCAGTGCAGCCCCGCGCACGAGGCCTGAGAGTGCTCCTGGGACCTCCTCCCCCCTCCCAGCCTGGGGCGGGGCGCCACCCCCCCCCCCCCCCCCGCAGATGGGGTTCCCGCCCCAAATGGCTCTGCTCAGACTTAGGAACTGCAGACAGCGCCCCCTGGACCCCGCCCGTGACTTTGCCATTAGGACGAGGGCTGCAGGAGGGGCCTGGGGCCCCCCCAACATCAGCCCGGAGATGGTGAGTCCCCGAGACCCCCGGCTCGGGGGCTGTGCAGTCCTGTGGCTCAGGAGAGTTCCGGCGTGGCTTTGGCAGCTGCTTTGAGCGCAGGGTCTTGTCCTCCTCCGGGCTGTGGGCTACGGCTCCCAGGGTGAGCGGCACCGGGCGGGGCCCGAGTCCTGCTCACCGGCTGCGTCCCCTGTGTCCCCTGTGTCCCTGCAGGCTCCAGAGTGGGATGAACCTGCAGATCTGCTTCGTCAACGACAGCAGCAGCGACAAGGACAGCGATGCAGACGACAGCAAGACGGAGACCAGCGTGGACACACCCCTGTCCCCCATGGTGAGTCCCCTGGACACGCCCCGTTCCCCATGGTGAGTCCCCTAGACATGCCCCCGTCCCCCATGGTGAGTCCCCCTGGACACGCCCCTGTCCCCCATGGTGAGTCCCCCTGGACACGCCCCTGTCCCCCCTGGTGAGTCCCCTGGACACGCCCCGTCCCCCATGGTGAGTCCCCCTGGACACGCCCCCATCCCCCATGGTGAGTCCCCTGGACACGCTCCATCCCCCATGGAGTGGGTTGGAGACTCCCTGGTCAGGCTGGCACAGCCATGCCGTGCGGGGGGCACTGAGTCCTTCATCCCTGGGTCGTCCCTGGCTGCTGGCCCGTGCAGACTGGCCTCCCCGCGCTGAGGGCTGCTGTGTTTCCCTCCGCAGAGCAAACAGAGCTCTTCCTATTCCGATAGAGACACGACGGAGGACGACTCGGAGCCCCTGGATGACATGGACTTCCTCAGCCGGCAGAAGAAGCTGCGCGCTGAGGCCAAGATGGCCCTGGCCATGGCCAAGCCCATGGCCAAGATGCAGGTGGAGGTGGAGAAGCAGAACCGGAAGAAGTCGCCCGTGGCCGACCTCGTAAGCAACTGTGGCCGGCCCAGGCACCTGCGCAGGGCCTGAGGGCCGAGGTTGCCCTCCTCTGGCCACAGCCAGCCCCCGACACACCCCTTCCCGCGCCCCCCAGCAGCCGGGTTTAACACGTGCTCCCATGGCTCACCCTGGAGTGTGGCTAATTGACACGGTGCCCACGTGCTAAGGACCCGTGGGCTGAGCCCGGCTTCCTGTCAGTCGGAGCTTGGGCTCGGCAGTTCCCCCAACTCTCCAGGGCTGTGGGTGAGTCCGGCTGGACTCAGTTTTCTCACCTGTGAAATGGGCTCCAACACACCCCGAGTCAGGGCCGGGGAGCGCGAGCGAATTCAGAGCACTAGCAGCATCCCAGCTGAAAGACCCTCCCCTGCGCCCACCGGGGGCCCGTCCTGCTCACGCGCGCGTCTGTCTCCCACAGCTTCCCCACCTGCCCCACATCAGCGAGTGCCTGATGAAGCGCAGCCTGAAGCCGGCTGACCTCCGCGGCATGACCCTGGGCCAGCTCCAGGTCATCGTCAACGACCTGCACTCGCAGATCGAGAGTGAGTGGGGGGGAGGGAGGAGCGGGGGCTCGCCCAGGCGCTTGCCAGCACGGAAGAGTCCAGAAACTTTGTCAGGTTCTGAGCCCAAAGTGCCTGCAGGTCCCCTTGATGTCATTTTGGCTCACTGACCTTAAGCCCACACCCAGCAGTGCTCGGGGCTGCTCCCGACTCAGTGCTCCGGCCACAACCTGAGACTCTGCCCCTTGGGCTCACTCTGCATGCAACCTCCCGACACACACACGGTGTTGGGCTGAGACATCTGCCCCTAGAATTCAGTCTTCCAGGTCATGGATGACGGGGTCAGACCCTCAGCTTCCTGGAAAATTCCCTGCAGGGAAACAGGCTCCAGAAGTTTCCATTCCCAGCTCCTTAGACAAACCCCTGTTCTGGAAAAGCCCCCTCCTCCCTCAGCAGGGCGCCTTCCTGAGGCGGACCCTCCCTCCCTCAGGCCGACCTGGAGCATGCGGGGGTTGCAGGGTGGGCTCTGGGGGAGAGTGAGCTGTAGGTGTGAGTGTGGGGGTGTTAATGTGGGTGCAGGTGCGGGCACAGGTGTGAGTGTGGATGGTGAGTGTGAGCGTGGGTGTGGGCATAGGCATAGGTGATGGGTGCCGGCTGTGGGAATGGGTGGGTGTGGGTGCAGGGGTAGCTGTCGTGCAGTTGTAGGTGCAGGGTAATTGTCGTGTGGGTGTGGGTGCAGGTGTAGTAGTTGTGCGGGTGCAGGTGTTGGTGTAGCTGTGGTGTAGGTGCAGGTGTGGGTGCATGTCCGGGACTGGCGATGCCCGGCCTCACAGCAGTGGCCCTCTGCAGGCCTGAACGAGGAGCTGGTGCAGCTGCTGCTGGTGCGGGACGAGCTTCACATGGAGCAGGACGCCATGCTGGTGGACATCGAGGACCTGACCAGGTCGGTGGGCAGGGGTCGTGGCGGGGACTGGCCCGCGGGAGCCTGGGGTGTGGGCCAGCTGCCGCTTCCAGTGGCATGAGCCCAAGCTGTTCTTGGGGCACCCAGGGCTGGACGCAGCCTCATCCCAGGAAGGGGCAGGAAACGGGCGGTGCCGACACAGCGAGCCCTGCTGGGAGCTTTCCTGGGGACCGCCTGCGTGTGCGAGTGCGTGTGCGTGCCTGTGTGCGTGCCTTTGTGTATCCCTGTGTGCACATGTGTGCCTGTGTGTGTGCCTGTGTGTGTGTGTGTGTGTCCCTCTGCGTACATGGTGAAGATGCTGCCCGTGGCCCTGCCCCACCCCACGGCTTCCCTGGGAGGGGCGCCCTCTGTCTCCCAGGCCCAGCTGGCCCACAGTTGCTCTTGGCACAGAAGCCGGGACCCCAACCAGACACAGCCCCAGCACTGTGTCCCCACCCCCCACCAGCGGCTGCCAGCCACAGGGGCGGCACTTTCCTCTCTGTTCTCTCCTGTGTTGTTCTGGGCACATGACCGCAGGCATACGCATGCGCGCGCGTGCACACACACACACACACACACACACACACACACACACACGTACGCACATGCGTGAATACATGCACACACATTTTCAATGCCTGAGCCCTGTACTAGGGTTCCAGTGTGTGGGAAACAGACGCCACGGTGGGTGGAACCCAGGGAACAAGGCCTGCGGGGGCAAGGTGCCCTCGGTCCTGGTGGCGCCGTGGCCAGCTGCACATGGGCACGGGACCCTTCGTCATGCCCCCTCTCTGAGAGTCCCTGGGGTTTGTCCTCCTGAATCAGAAATCCACGAGACAGACAGGAGGCGGCTGGCCACCCTGCCCTGTCCCCCTCGCCCAGAGTCAGCCGTCCCTGAAACCCTCCGTGACCACCCTCAAGCCCCGTGTGGACCCGCCTCTCACGGCACTTTCCCTGCCGGCCTGCCCGGTGCCATCCAGGCACCAGGCCCCAGCTGCCTCCCCACTCCCCACAGGCCCAAGGCAGTATCTGATGGCAGAGGCTGCTTGGTGTTGGGCTCTGAACTGGGGGCCCTGTGCTGAGAGGCGCGTGCCATCTGCAGAGCCCTCCTGGCCCCTCTTTTTCACGTTTTGTTTTATTTTTTGCTTTTACTTATTTTGTTTGTTTTGGGGTCACACCCGGTCACATATGCTCAGGGGACCCTATGGGATGCTGGGAATCGATCCCAGGTTGGCCGCATGCAAGGCAAATGCCCTCCCCGCCGTGCTATCGCTCCAGACCCTTGTTTTATTTTTTTAGGCCACACCAGTAATGCTCAGAGCTTACTCCTGGCTCTGCGCAGGGGACCCTATGGGATTCTGGGAGTGGAACCCGGGTCAGCCACAGGCGGAGGAGACCCCCGCCCACTGTGCTCTCTCTCCAGCCCTGCCCCCCGGGAGAGGGAAGCCCCCCAACCCGGCCTCGCTCTGAGTGCCCCTTCCCTCCTCAGGCACGCCGAGAGCCAGCAACGGCAGCTGGCGGAGAAGACACCTTCCAAGTGAGGCCGCCCACCCGCCTGCCCGCCCAGCAGGGGCTGGAGTCCTCCTGCCCCCCCCCCCCCCCCGGTCGTCAGAAACGCTGTCGCTAAAGGGGGTGTGTTGTCCTGGGCTGTCTGCGCTTCCGTCGTCTGTCCGTCCGTCCGGTGACCAGCCTCTGCTACTTAATTTATTTCTTTTTTATTTTTTAACTCAGTCCCAGGCATTTTAATAAGATAAGGTGACAGAAACTGTACAGTCCTGCCATGGGCCCGGCCCGGGTCCAGCAGAGGGGAGTGTCACGGGGGTCCCCGGGGCTCAGGATGGGCCCGCACACCCCACGCCGGAGATGGTGCTACCCCCGGGCACGAGGGCCCGGCCCGGTGTTGACCACTCCCCTCGGCATCTCGAGAGTGTGGATGCCCGGGGTTTCCCTCTGAGGCAAGTGGATGGCCTGTGGGCGCCGGGCCGAGTCTCCTGTATAAATATGTAAAATAAAGATGAGAACTTTGTTTCATAGGCGCTCGGTCTTTCTCGGTAGCCAGCACCGCCCCCAGGGTCCACGCAGGGGAGTGGGGGTGGGGTGTGCACGTGCCCAAGAAGACCTGCCCCGCCCTCGCTGCCTGCCCTGGGTCCCCCAGTTCTGCCTTGGGTGGGGGGACCCACTGCCTCCCTGAACAGGCGCCAGGGGTGCTTAGGGGAGACGGCGCCCGTGCGGGTGTCACACTCCTGTCCACTGCAGCAGGGGTGAGGTGGCCGCCCCTTTCCCCCAATCTGTGTCCACAAGCAGCCCAGTGACATCAGCTCTGTCCTGCTCGGTGTCAGCTGACCCACCCTCCGGCCAGCAGCTTCAGCAGGTGGCACCAAGCAGGGCGGGCCGGACCCACCATATCGGACCCCAGCTGCCCCTCAGTGATCTGGGGTCCCCGAGACCCGCCCCTCAGCGATCTGGGGTCCCCTGGGACCGGGGCTGGGGGAGTCCAGCCCAAGAACGGCCCCAGGCACCTCTTCCAGGGAAGGCGGGCCCTCTCCGGACACCAGTGCCCCCTGCAGGCATGGACCCCCACATCGGGAGAAGCAGCAGGAAGTAGAGTGCCCGGGATGGCCCTCACCTACCAGCTGTGGCCACCAGCCCACGGCCACTAGCTCATGTCCACCAGCCTATGTCCTGTCAGCCTGTATCCAGGTCATGGCCATCAGCCGTGGTCACCAGCCTGTGTCCACCAGGGAGCCTCGCTCCACACCTGCCTCAGGTGACAGTCCTCACCCCTGACCTGCTTCCTCCCTCTCCTGGTCAGTGGCACCCCTCCTTGGGGCAGGGCCTCTCTGGTGTTTAAACCTGCTTTCCTCTCCAGGTTGGAGGGTTCAGGAGGTGGGTGAAGGAGGGTCTGAACATTCGCTCTCGCCAGGGGCAGGCACGGTGGCGGGAACTGGGCTGCAGCCAGGACTGGGGTCCGGGTAGCGCGGGTGAGCTGGGCTTTCTGTGTGCGCGTGTCCGCGGCCTGTCTGCTCCCAGGCAAGGTGTGTCTGCCTCTGCGGCCTCCCAAAGCTCCTGACACGCCCAGGCCCGAGCCATAGGACAGCAGCCCAGAGCCTGCCATAGCTGAGACCCCTGAACACAGAGCCAGGAAGGAGCCAGCCCTGAGCATGGAGCGCCCACAGCAAACAAACAAGCAAATGCATTAGACATGCGGGCTGCCTCGCTCGGCCCAGCTGACTCGGGGCAACAGAGAGAACCCAGCCCCTGGCCCCCGGCCCCCTCACTCCCCTTCCAGGGACACGAGGACCTGCCTGTGAACTTGTGTCCAGTGCAAACTGGGCAACTTGTCAGGGCTGAGCACTGTCTGGGGGAGGTGGGCACAGGGGAGAGAGTTGCACTGGGGAAAGGGAGTAGTGTCTGAGGGAGGTGAGCACTAGGTGAGCACTGCGGAGGTGAGAATGGAGAGGAGAGAGAATAGCCTCCGGTTTACCAGATACCTCTGGGTTCTGGGATTCTGGGGACACAGCCTCCACTTCGATGGGGCATCCGAAGGGCTGTGAGATGGGGTTTGTGCTTTGGGACCCCTCTGCAGCCTGTGGGGTGGCCACAGCAGGCGCAGGAGCTGAGGGCTGTCCCCTCCCCGCCTGTCAGCCTGTATCCCGGGGGTACCGAGCTCCACTCCCCGCCCCGACACATACAGGCCTCGGTGCTCGGCCCACGGGCTCTGTTGAAAGAGGCCCGGAGGGGTTGAGTAATGGAGGTTTTCTACATTTTGGAATTTCTGAGACAGAACGAATGAAAAACCCGCTTGAATTTCCTCCACTTCCCTAAGCTGCGCCGGGGACCACCTCTCTTGGACACTTAGGCAAGAGTCGGCCAGGAAGCTCACACGAACGGGATTCGGAGGAAAGAGACGGGAGCCCACGAGAAATCTCCGAGTTTTGCTTTGATGCGAGCGAGCCGCCTCGCAGCGCACGGAGAAGCGCCCACTTGCAGTTTTGAAATCTCCGAGTTTCCTGCTCTGAGCACCAGCCGACCCTGATTTGCATGCCTGAGCGGCCAGTGCCCGCTGCCCCCTGCTGGGAGAAGCCACCGCTTCCTCTTTTTTAAGCTTGCAACTGTCACTTCCTAAATCAGGCCCCTGCAAGCAGCACCTGCGCCCTCAGCCTGGGGCACCTGGCGGCTCCTGGTCTCCCTGCAAGCGGGGAGCCCGGCTCAGGTGGGCATCAGGGGGACATCACCTAGGAGCTGAGCCAGAGCGTGGCCTTCAGTGCAGGTTACAAAACAGGACCCGGAGCCAGAGAGACAGGACAGCCGCGGGGATCTTGCCTGGCACGTGGCCCACCTGGTTTCGATCCCAGCATCCCACAGGGTGTGCCAAGCCTGCCAGGAGTGAGCTCTGAGCACAGAGCCAGGAGTAAGCTCTGAGCACTGCCAGATGTGCTCCCCCACGGCCAGTCCTGGCAGAAAAGAAAGAAAAAGAGAAAGAGTGAGAGAGAGGAAGGAAGGAAGGAAGGAAGGAAGGAAGGAAGGAAGGAAGGAAGGAGGGAAGGAGGGAAGGAAGGAGGGAGGGAGGGAGGGAGGAAAGAAGGAAGGAAGGAAAGGGGCTGGAGCAATAGCACAGTGGGTAGGCCGTTTGCCTTGCACGTGGCCAACCCGGGTTTGATTCCCGGCATCTCATATGGTGCCCCAGCACTGCCAGGAGTAATTCCTGAGTGCAGAGCCAGGAGTAACCCCTGAGCATCTCTGGTATAACCCAAAAAGAAAAAAAAGAAAGAAAAAATGAGACCAACTCTAGAGCTTGACTTCAGTCTTTTAAGGGCAGGAGGCCATTCCCAACTCACATGTTCCAGGTCCCAAACTAGAGGAAAAAGAAATCCAGTATATGTGGAATCTCCGGGGCTTCAGTTTCCAGACCCCACAGAGACTGGGGCAGGTAGGAGAGAGCGCGGGGTGAGACACTGTCTTATAGGCGACCTATCCCGTTCCGACCCTGCACTGCCCTCCAAAGCATCCCTGAGCACAAGCCAGGAGCTGCCCCAAGCCCTGCCAGCCTTGTCTCTGAGCACCCCCTCAGAATCTCTCCCGACTCTCGGCGCTGCTGAATCTCTCCCGACTCTCGGCGCTGCTGGACTGGGTGTCCGGCCCACTCTGCCATTGGGCGCCTGACCCGTGGGCCCAAGCTCGGGACAGCTGCTGGCAGGCGTGCCAGCCCAGTCTGACCCGCCGGGCACAGAGCGTCTCCAGCTGTCAGGCCCCTGCATGGGCAGCGGGTGAGTCCCGAGCACTGCGAGCGAGGACGGGGGTAGCGAGGGTCTCATGGGTGCAGCTCAGCCTGTCCCCTGCTCACGTCACCCCTGGGGGTCTTCTAGGACCAGCACCCGGCTGCACACTTGTTCCATCTTCCTGTTCTCGTTGGGATTTCTGGGTCATGCCCAGTGGTGCTCAGGACCACTCCGAGCTCAGTGCTCAGGGGCCACTCGTGCAGACAGACCTCACGCTCAGCTGGCCGAGGGTCTCGCCAGCCCCTTTCCCCTCACTCTTCCTTCGCACTGAGTGACCCCACGGGCTCTCGGGTCCCAGAAAGAGACTCCACAGGGTGCTCCTGACTTCGGGCCCTGCCACGCCCACCGCCTGCCCCCTGGCCCGCAGGCCTCTGGGTGCAACCGCATCCTGAGACGCCCCCAGCAGCAGGACTGCCTCCCCTTCCCTGCACCCCGTGTCCCCGCCCCCGCTCTCTCCTCCTGTCCCCTGTGCCTCTGCCCCTGAGCACGGCAGGCGGGGGCACTGCCGCTGAGCGGGAGACAGTGACGGAACCGGGCGTGTGGACAGACCTCCGCAGGAGCCAACTCAGACACCAGGGCTGAAGCCTCCGAGGGGCCGAGGGGCCGGGAGGGACAGCGGGGCGGACCCCTGCCTTGCTCAGTCTCCGGCGTGATTCCGGGGAACCGAGGCGGGAGGGCCCGAGCTCTCTCTCGGCCTGGCCAGGATTCCGGGCCCAGGTGTGTGCCGTCAAGCTCCCCGGCTCACCTGTGTGCTCGTCCCTGGGCATGGCCGGATCCTGACCTACGCGGGCCAGAGCAAAGTCAGCGAGGAGACCACTCGAGAGAGGGCGAATGTTCCAGAACAAGTGTGGCCCCGTGCCCTGAGGGAGGGGCCCGGGAGGGCGTCCTCACGAGGCAAGGGGGGTTCCGCGCCTCCCCAGGCCCCCAATCCAGAAGCTGGGGGCGGAGCCCACTCGCTCAGTTCTCTCCCACCCCGAGCACCAGCTTCCCTCTGGCCCCTGCTCACCCGAAACCCTCATTTTCAGGCTTAATCATGGAAACCTGGTGCCCTAGAGCCGGGGCGGGGCCGAGATGCATCCAGCTCCCCACGTGTCCAGGCCCCTGGCCCCTGCCCCAGCCTCCTTCCCCTCCCCCACTCCGCCTCTCCTTCCCGACAGTCTCGCTTCCGAGACTCAGGCCCACGCCCTGCTTGCCCTCCACCCCTCCCACACCCCACTACCCAATGCCACGGGCTGGCGGGGACACCATGTGTCTGCCCTCCAGCCGCAAATTCCCGGCCCTGGGACATCTGGGTGTTCCCGGCGGGGCTGCACCGGCCGTGGGCGTGCCCAGATCTTGTCCATGGACAGTCTCGGTGTTTCGGGAACACTTACTGCGTCACCTGACGCTCTTGTCCTCCTGGGAGAAGCCTCCCAGGGGATTTCGAATGTCCACATCTGACCACCCTGCCCTGCAGGCTCCTCCTCAAATGCAGTTCCATGTCCTAAAGGCCACAACTAGGCATGCAGTATCCCTGCAGAAGGGACAGCCGGAGTGAGAGGGTCGCAGGCTGACTTTGCATTCAGTGTCAACAAAGCGAGTCGCCCCTGAGTGAGAGACCAAGGCTGGTGGCACCCGTGGGGTGGACGGAGGCTCAGGTTGCCTGACTAGGATCCACAGCGCGGGTCCCCCAGGCCAGGGAGCGGCCATGGCCCTGGCCTCTTTGTGCACCAGGAGGGCCTCTGGCCGGCGGGGGTCCGTGACCTCCTTGGG